GACTGGGCTGACAGCTGCGGGACCAGTTCTTTCTGAGTGAGCACCCCCAGTCCACACACGAGCACTACCTGCAGGTGGGGGCGGGACAGGGGGAGGGGGAGGGGGCGGGACAGGGGGAGGGGGAGGGGGAGGGGGAGGGGGCCTAGGTCGTATGTGGGGTATATCTGGTATCTGGCTCGAGCAGGGTTCCGGAGCCGCGGGCAAATCCCGTAGAACCCTAATAGACCCGACCTTGTAACGCAGGGTGCCGCTCAGTTCTAGGCGCGTCACCCCTCCCAACAACCCGCTCCACCCCACATGCCCTCGTACCAGATTGTGTTGACATCCATTGAGCCCCGGCGGTCCCGGCACAGTGGCAATTACGACGCGTACGAATACACGGCACACTCGCACACGTACCAGTCTGACGCCATTCCCTCGGCGCGCTTCACCTACGACCTGAGCCCCATACAAATTCTGGTTCAGGAGACTGCCCGGCCTTGGTACGTAAGAAGTGAGAGGAAGGCGGGGAAGAGATTGGCCCCTTCAGTCTGATTTGGAGCAGTTTGGTTTGGAGCGTCGTCAATCATTCCGTAATCCAGACGTTCGTTTGTGTGTGTGTGTGTGTTGTAATGACCTTTGCATGGCATTATCATCGTCTTCGTGTTTTACCAAACTGGTTCTCCGGTCCTTACCGCCCTCTTCCCTCGTTTGCCTCCTGCCTCCTGCGGCTTATCCTCTTCGTCCTCCTCCGCCCGCCTCTCGCCGTTTCGCCGCCATCGCTGTCATCTCATGATTCCCCCCGCCCCTGATATGTACATCCTTTTCCGTTTTCTGTCTGTTCATCTGTTTTTGTTGTTCTGTTGTGTTGGAACGTGCACAAAACATGTGCAGGTATCAGTTTTTGACCACCAGCTGCGCCATCATCGGCGGTGTGTTCACAGTGGCGGGTATCCTGGACGCGCTGCTGTACCAGAGCTTCAAGGTCGTCAAGAAGCTCAACTTGGGAAAGCAGGGCTGAGCAACCACAGCAACCGCAGCGCGGGTCGCAGCAGAAGCAGAAGGAGCAGCAGCAACGACAACATAAGTCACGGCAGCAGAAGCAGCAGCAGACGGGGAGGAGGGGTTGCAGAGTAGCCTCAGAGCAGCATCCTGTGTCGTAGTTGTACGACCTGGTTCAAGTACTACGGGCTACTGCCGCTGCTGCGTCATTCGACCGAGGCAGTAGTAGACAACTGCTGAGGGTGTTTAACAGTGGTGATGATAGTTAAGGTGGTGGTGGTGGCTGCGGTGGTGGTGGTGGGGAGCTATAGTGGTGCTCATCCATTGTGTCGTCCAGTGTTTTAGAGCTGCCCGGTACATAGCTACTGCGTGTCAGTGATGGTTGTGTGTATGGGGGGGGGGAAACTGGGGTGTCATTTTTGCAGTTGGGAGCTGGTGGGAAGGGGCTGGACGGAGAGTCTCTGCATGTACATGTGGAGGGATCTGGAACTCACTCTTGTGCGCTGAGGTGGCAGACCGACCAGCAGCAGCTCCAGGACAAGGGTGCGTGGGGTATGAGGAGCGCGGGAAATGAGGAGCTGTGACTTAATTTGGCGTTATGCCGCCGTGGCTTTTCCTGGTGCCGCTGTTCTTGGTGGTGGTGATGATGATGATGAAGCTGCGAACCCATGCATGCTGCCGTTTCGGTAACTAGGTAGATGTGGACGTACTCCAACCTCCCGTGGGGGTCGGGTCGGGTCTATGAGAGTTTATGTCACTTAGGGTTTTGGTGATCCGTGATTCGCTCGATCAGTGGTGTATGTGTGTGTGTGTGCGCAATTATGTGACCCTGTTAGCAGGACCTCGGTGTTAAAAACCAACCATGTATCCAAATATAATTTTTTACACACGTCGTTTCATGATTCTATATTTTAGGGTTATGTTTTATACGTTATGCAAAACACGCACAGGATCTGCAGCTGTGATGGGTGTGTGCTTCACACGGTCCAGAGCAAAAGAATGAATGGTACAACACAACACACCAAAAAGCTACACCGGCCCGTCGTCGCCATACAGTCAGCAGCCGGCACACTAGCTACAGCTACACACACAACCAAACGCACTCGGCACGACGGTGCTTTTACTCGTGCCGCGTACGGCACAAGTCGTCACCGCACCGCGCGGAAAAACCGTCTCACGGACCCCCTTTCACCGCTGAGCTCGGCGACACACCACACCACACCATACCACGTCCTCGCTTTAGGGATTAGCTGCGCCAATTCGCCTCTTGTCGGAGCGTCCGTGGAAATAACATGCAAATGCTGCTGCCTGCCCCGAGCCATATACGCCTTCACCCACAGTCAAGAAAGGGAGAGGAAATGAACGGTCATCACGTATGTGCGCAACGCCGGCCTGGACATGGCCTGAACATAAGCTCACGCTACACACCAACCCTCCAACACAATTCGTGCAACGCAGTAACAGTCTCCGGCGACCCAAAGTGTTTAGGCCTAATCAATCCCCGTGCAACGGGTCCAAAGCCCCCGCGGCGGAGCGCCTGTGAGTCCTGTGATCCAAATCTCGCGACCCGCCGCTGGCACAGCATCTCCGGTGCACCTTTCGCTGCTTAACGACTGCTGCAACTGCAGCCACATGCAACGTCACACGGCGCCTTCCCAACATGGGGAGCGATTGGGGAAGGAAGAAGCGCATATCGCATGCACAAGCACCCCGGCGCGAAGAAGCTTCGAGACAGTTGTATTATGCTGCCGCACACCACTGCCACCACCTCGCTCTTAACTTTCATGCCCGCCCCTTCCAGCGAGGGCATGGAAAGATCAGGACTTCAAGTTGTTTGGCAGGCAGGGTGCAGAGATACAGCCAAAAAGCTGTTTTTTCAAAAAGTTCACTGCTCGTGAAAGCTTCGCACCATTTGGTCCAAAACCCGACCCGCAGACAAACCGGTTATTTGGCCGAAACTGATAGTAGTGGCGACTGAAGTAGTAGAACACTTGACAGCACAGCAGCTGCAAAGAAGCAAAGACAGTACAGTAAGCGCCTCCGTCCAAGGAGGACTTCTGTGACGCAGATTCGATAAATATAGTGTGTACAAAAGCCCCAACGATGCGCCGCTTATTGTGTGCAATGGAGCATAAAGATTATACTAACGACGCGCAAAAGAGGGCATGCGTGTGGGCAAAAGCAAAACAGAGCGCAGCTTAGCTCCCAAGTGCAAAAGCCGCCGCCGAAGGAAACCAAGCCTACAACACCCACCAGTGCATAACAGCACACAGACGCACATACATGCTTACACACAAAACATACAGGAAACACGCCAGCAGCATGCCGTCCAGACCCACACCACTCCGTACAAGTGGCAGGATGGCAGGACAACGTCGCTCCTCTCACCGCGGTGCGCGCAGCTACACCCGGCTTGTCGCCACTGGTCACTTATATAAAAGTCCAGAACATACGAGGCGGCATCTTCCGCCTCGTCAGGCGACCTCACCCGCCCCTCCATATACAGCGCCAAGGCCCGACTCTGCGGGCTCGGCTCAGACTCCTACGTGGCAAGCGCATCCGCCAGCAGGGCGGTACGGCACAGGAAGGTAGGTAGGTACGATTCCATCCCTGGGGCCTCTGGAGTACTTGTGGTTTTCTATCACGGCACGGTTCCATGCCTGCACCACAAAGGTGCACTGGGAACGCGCTATGTGCCTCGCTGGCCACCCGTATCTCGCCCCCTTCCTGGCGTAGTCCCTTCTGAAGTTGACAACAATCGATCCACACTCGCCAATCCCTTATTCACCCATACCCATCCTCATGCACACACATCGACACACGCACGCACACATTCCCAGGGGCCCCACCAACCGCCCACTACTACCAAACCGACCTCAACGTCCTGAGGGGTGACCACGGCCTACAAGCTAAAGCAGTTCAGCCCGACCGCCAGCTAAAAAAGCACGCCAAGCGACTCGCCAGGTAGGTAGATAGGTAGGTAGATATACGAACCAAGGGGGAGGCAATATTATTTACCCCTTGCCAGGTCTGGACAGACATGGACCACATTGGGACGGACTTCTTCCCTCCTCGTCCGCCCCCCTTCCACCACCTCGTCTCGTCCATATGCCTGCACCTGCCTTCGCCCTCCTTTGCTTCAACACCCGGCCGTGCGTCATATGACATGTGTCCGCTTCCATGTATGTAAGTGGAATTGAGGTTGAGATTTAGGTGGGAGGCGCTGTTAGAGACTTATTACTTCGACACAGTTGTACACACTCTTTTCACTCCACGCCGGCGATGTGAGTATGGTAGCTCAGTCGCCATACCCATATGCAGGAAGCCACGTATATCTATTTCTCTCTCAGTCCGCAGCGGCCTTTAACCACCACTTATTAATCCGCACAGCAGCAGTAACAAAGCAGCGGCAGAAGTTATCAACAGTTCACGCAGCAGCATTCACACAGCATCCGCCACCTAAACTCTTCAACCGACAACAACCACTCGATCAAAACATGTGAATCAGCCTCTGTCGCATCCATTAACAGCTCGGGGAATGCTCTGCAGCCCCTGGGTGATCCTCCCGCCGTGGGAAAGAAATCATTGCACCATGTCCGCCCCCCTCCTTCCTATGGGTCAAGCCAGGCTTCTCCCCCGCCTCCCCGCACGGACACACACACAAATGCGCGCGCGCACACACACACACACACACACACACACACACGCACACACACTCCATGCCGCCAGGAAGCCAGCGAAACGATCAACAATGAAGTCGGCCAACCTGCCGTCCAGCACGCCAGCGGCCGGGACCCGGTGAGGCGCTTCAGCTCCCCCCCTCCTCCCTCATGCACCAGGGCACAGGCGAAGGCTCAAGTCATCGCAGAGGAAGCACAAGGAGACACGGATTGCAACCCTTCCGGACCAGCACATGGCAACAACACGTTTGGTCCAACAGGCAGGTGGGAGGTGCTCCCCGGCGTGGGCCATGCGTACAGTAGTCCGATGGGTGCCATATGGGGCCTCATGTGTTGGGGGAGACGGGTAGTGGCGGCGGCCCCTCGGACTACAGCAGCTGGGAGCCCAAAGAACCCAGCCAACTGCGGCCAGCCCCTTCGGAGGGGGCGAGAGAGAGAGAGGAAGAGGATAAGGGACACCTGGGCGCGTTGGCAGCTCACGGAACGCCCGACGTCCCCCCTTCAAAAGCCTGCGTCCACGCGGCCCAAGGCCCCAGGTGCGGGAAGGCCCCCACATCTCAGAACGCAAACCTATCGTTGCGTTTGCGGACTTGGCACACCGGGCCACTCTCGGTGGGCACAACACCCTGGCAATTAGCCGCAGCTAATACAGAGAGAGAGAGAGAGAGAGCGCTGTGTGATGAACGCCCCACCCGTTGTAGACCGACCCAACCTGTCGCGAAGAGGCCCAACCCCGTATCAGGCCGTGTTGCAATATGACAGTGGTAACAGATGCGATGCACACGCATACATACACATGAGCACAGGCCAGGGATTGCTGCTGCTTCATTGTAAAATGGTATGCATGCGGGTTCCAAAAGCCTACATCTTCTTCGCCAACACCGCCTCAAACTTATTTCGTGAATTTCTCCCAGCATCATCAACGGAAAGAAAATGAACCGAGGCCGAGGCACGCACATACACAGAGTCTACCATCGCTAGCACTGGGCAACTGGACAGGTCGACTGACAAAACCGAAAAGGACGGCGACGGGTACCTGTTTAAAAAGTCGCCTTTGGGGATTGACACGAACAACAAAACGACGACGACAATGGCATACAACAAACGGCGATGCCGGGGGAACGGCGCCCGTTCCAAACCTGCGGAGAGTGGCGCAATCAGCAAGACACGCAATAACCAAACGCCCTGCGGGGTAAACCCAAACGCTTTGACCCGAGGCCCCCAGAACTGAAGAGCGCAGAATGCAATATTCCGAAGTAACTGGCGCCGTGTTGTGCGCTTAAAGCGGCAATCCTCCCTCCCTCCAAAGCCACGCCACGAAACCCTCACCCCTTAACCAAACCTCCACACCACGAGAACCCCCTTCCCCGTACCGCATATCTTATTGAAAGGTACCCGGAATACCAGGAATCAGCGCAAACACGCAAACCACCCCCTCGCTTCCTCCTCCTCCGACACCACCTCTTCTCCGGACGGCCCTGGATGCAGCAATTTCCCCGGACATAGTAACCTTTATCGCCTTCTGTCGCCGCCCCGGCCCGACGAGCAGGGAGCAAATCCATTCATCCAACCCTCCCGGGCAAGATAGTCAAGAGAGTAAGAGCAGCAGTAGCAGCAACATCACCAACGGCCCCCTCCCCACCCCGCCAGTTTTCTCCGGCACGTCCGCCCATTCAAAACCTAGTGACCCTTTCGACCACCACCTCTGCCGTCGCTTATATTCAGTCAGTGGATCCGGAGTTATCCGTTAGGGCCGCCCACCCATCCACAGCCTCACCTCGCCCCACCATCATCGAGGCTCTTCCAAGTAGGCGCACATTCCAGCCGGACCGACCCGACCCTTCCTCCACAGCACCTCCTTTCAACCACCTATCAGCAACCACCAACCCCATCCCCGCCTTTCCTCTTCTTCGCAGCAGCCACTCCCACCCGCCTTACCTATTGGCCGCCAATCCTTCTCACCCGACCTCCGGACACCTCTCTCGCTTTCTCTCTTTGCGAGACCCTCTGATTACATAAGGCAGAAGCACGCACGTGAATTTGTCTGCGTGGTGTGTCTCACAGAGTGCCCCAACGCAGGGGAAGGGGCCCGCATGGAGCCCTGCTACGCCAACCCCAGAGCTTGAAACACGTGCCCCGCCGCCATGGCATTATAGGGCGGCTGAAATCCTTCCACAGACGATGCAACACAACGGGAATTACCGGGGTCAGTATCTCTCCCAACCACCACTCGATTATACAGAATACTCTTATTGGAAAATGCGATACATAAGCAAAATAGGGGCAAAGGCAAAGGCCTCGGCTCACTGCTAGAGAGCCTTATGGAACCGACGGCACTCGGGGCAGAGCTTAATTAGTACACGCCTAGTAATAAACATCAATGTACGGCGGCGGAGCGCTCAAAACGAGAGCTAGGGGATTTCAACCTTGCAATGCGGGGAAGGGGATTGTCGAGAAAGGCCCGCTCGGCAGTGTGAGCAAATCTACACCTGTCTGTCTGTCAGATGCCTCCCTCCCTCTTCTCTCACTGTGCCCGAGTGTTACTAGAGCGCAACTCTCAGGTCACGGGGAAACTCGTCAGAGCCTCAAGGCAAGGCAAGAATCAAGGAAAAGGGTCATCTGCCACACTCCATTTGGCTCCGCAGATTCCCGTCCAACCCACAGCACAAGCGAACAAAACCCCACAAACACGGAGCGAGCCCCCTCTCGCGCTCCCTTCTTCCCTCGCCCCCTCCCGCCCTTATTGCAATGGCTCTCACAGCCTCCGCCCAATCCAGAGCTACCAACCTCCGCAACGCGTTTCCTGCAGAGCCGCAACCGCTACGTACAAGGGGACGACGTCTCATCGCGATGATCGATCAGGATAACAGAAGACCCCGCTTCCCGCAGGGTGCTCGTGCAATTGGTGGTGATGGTGGTGCATACGCGTGCAGTGCAGTGTTCCAGTGCCGGATACCACCGGAGCATCGAGTATTATTCATTTGCCCAGATCAGATCATCAGATCAAATCGGACCGCACCAGACTACCACCGTCTTCAAAACAATCCGAAGGGATCCATAGCGCAACCCTTTCCCCGGCCCCAGATACTGCGGTACTGCGGCCAAAAGCACATTGACCCGTCGAGAGCGAGAGACTCCCTCGGAAAGGAAGACATCATCACCACCACCACCACCACCATCACCACCACAAAAGCGTCGACGGCGATTGCCAACGAGGATTACTGTTGCAGATCCCTATCATTGGTAGCCCCTCCTGCTACAAATAATACAATATTTAGGGGGACAGGAGAGACATAGTTTAGGTAGCGCGATAGGCCGATATGCCAGCCTCCTCTCGCTTTCTTGCGCTCCACCGTGGGGAAGGTACAACGGCCCCAAAGCCATAGGGCTAGAAGCGGCGTGGCCTTTATGATTTGTTTGGTGCGCCAACCGTGGCTCAACATCTTTACTGCAAAACACCCCCAAGCCACGACAATTCCCCGGCAAGCGAAACACACATACATACACATACATACATACACACACTCGCTCCACAGGCGCACATTTAGGATAAGCCTTCCCGCCAATCCACGCAATCCTGGGTGGGCAATAGCTCCCGTGGACATGACGGATAAGATGCTCTTTTTATTAAGATCCTCTTTCCAAGTCGTCCTCCTCTTCATCCTCCCCGCTTCGCCTTCATCTCTCCACCTCAACCGTATTTATGATTGGACATTCGAGGAACACGCACATACATACATCCATACGCGCACAATTGCAGACGCAAGAAACGCTTACGTGCACACAAAATTAGGAAAAGCTTAACCCCCACACATAAACAAACCTCGCCAGGCCGTGTCCAAATCGACTCGAGGGAAGCCCAAAACAAATCCTTATTCGTGCTGCAACAATTCATGACCTGTATTTGATCTTCTTCCTCCCTCCAGGTTGGTGCTGTTACTGTTGTTGTAGACATAATATGACCAGTGGCTGATTAATTAATTAACTTAGCAGCCGTGCAAGCCGTCATTTGCACATGAAATGTGCAGCAGGCAAAGTTGCACTTGCCCGCTTCCTCCTTTTCTCCGCCCTTCATTGCCATCTACCGCAGGCAAACTGCTCCTCGCGGCCCCTCGCGACTTGCAGTGCTCCGCAGTGACACGAGTTGCGACACGCACTACACATGGAGATTCAGCATGAAGGTCCCCGTGAGAAGTCGGCGCCAAACCCGCACCTGAGCGCGTTCTTGTCTCCTATTGTCAGGTTGAAGGATGTGCCTTCACCGCTTCACCAATACTGCCAGCCCCAGCTGCTAGACCGACATACATTAAAGCTTGCATTCCGCCAGTTGCGGCACTTCCCTTAACCTCGCCCTCGTGTCTTTGCTGCTCGTGATGGCACTGCTGTTATTTAATCGACGGCTGCAACTCGCCACCATCATCTTTCTCCTCCTCCTCCTGCTGCTGCGGAGCAACGCACAGCGCCCTCGCCTTCCCCTACTCGGTGATGCCCTGCTTGCTGATCAGCTCAGCCAGCTCGCGAGCCAACGACACAAAGTCGCATTCCTCGTTGGCGTCCTCGCGCTCCCTCTCGGGCTCTTCCACCACCACCTGTGACCACACGTCAATTTATATCAAAAAGGGAAGAGGAATATTAGACAACAAAGAGAGCATCATGGAGAGAAGCCCAGACAGCCCCAAACCCGGCGCGAAAAAGGGGCCAGTGAGGAGGCCAGCGAGCGGTTGGATAATAGAGGGAATACGGGCCGCACCAGCCGCGGATAGAAGATGTGAAGGCCTGTACGTAATTAAAACAGCTTGTGTACTATCCGACGGGCGCTAAACGTGCCAGCGCTGCCAGGGTCGTGGAGATGGGGAGACGCGCGCGGGGGGCCCTGCAGGTCCGTGCGAAGGGCTGTACTCGACCACACCATCGCACCTTCATCGTGTCTACCAGGTAGCCAAAGGAGGAGGTGGGGTGAGATTCAAGCTCCGAATGGGTGCTTCCCCGGGAAAAGTCCAGGGTGGTTTGCCGTGAGTACGGATCGCAACCGCCAACCGTCGAGCAGATGGCGTTGCTGTCGACACTGCACGCGGGGCTGCCCTCCAGGTTGGGCGAGGTGGGCGACTGGGAGGACGTATGGTGTAGTGCGGAAGGCATCGTCTGAGCCAGGTGGAAGGGCAACCCTGCGCCACCGCCGCCGCCACCACCAGTGCCGCCGCCTCCTAGCGTAGACAGCGGCTGGCCCGCTGCCGCCGCGGCAGCGGCGAGGTTCTCGCCACTACCGCGTTCTATAAGCCTTGTGGTGCCGCCGCCTGCTGACCTGCCGCCACTGCCACTTGAGAGCGCTGAGGCACCCGAGGAAGACGAGGTGACAGAGGAGGAGGAGCTGGGCGCCGAGAGATGCGGCAGGAAGACGCCGGTGCCGCTGCTGGCCTGGGCGCCACTCGCAATAACGGCCTTCATGGGGTGCCAGTCCTCGGACGCCCAGGAAGGCGCCTTGGCAGTGGCGGCGTAGCGTGCGCGGCGGCCGCCATCTGCGCCACCGCTGCGGCCATTCGGCCCACTACGACCGTTGGGCCCCAGGCCGGAGGGCTGTCGGATGGGCGGCCTGAAATGGGGGGAGGACAAGGGGCCGACAGAGTGTAATTCCATTAGGGAAGATGAAAGGGCTGCGGCCACACAGGAGCTACAGCTGCAATTGTGAGATGACAAGTTACAGGTCCTACACAGATGCGGGGAGTGTCCGCTGGGCGACCATGGACGGCAACGGAGGAGAAAGGGAAGGACGGTGTAGAAGGATGCGCGGCTGTGAAATATCCTAAACTGCAAATAATAATATTTCGAAGGGAGTATGGGAATCGTAAGACTGCGGGAAGTAGGAAGCGTTGCACTCGCGTGGGGACAACACGGGGCGAGCACTTCCATGATCACAGACAAAGGACGCATCATGAAAATCGCCCCAACGTCACCCGAACGACTTAGTAAAGAAGTGTCCACTGTCCGTCCTATCGCATAAGTAAATTCGTTAGAACGCGGGTTTCCAATATTCCGAATAATATCGTTCGAAGGTTCTTTTCGGGGTTTTCAATACGGATGCCAAGGTGGTTGGGGTCGTCGCGCTCGATGTAGAGGGTTAGAACATCGTTATTCACAGCTTCCTCCATCCATCCATCCCAGACCCTACACGCGGCCAAGCTAAGCATGACTGGCAGCTACTCCCCCTGCACATGTGCCGCATGAACGGCACGTCACACAAAGAAAGGTATACCAAAATGTTGCAAGAAACCTCTACCCGCATGCCTTCGCCGAGCCGCCCACGTCAATGCTGCTGCACTGCATCTTTGCTGACGCACCTCTTGCTGTTTGCCAGGGGTTGCATGGGCTGGCCCCCGGCTGCACCGGCCACCATTTGCAGCGTGGACCGCCGCTGACCCGCCACAAGGTGCTCTGAGCTGAAGCTGCGAACGGGCAGGTTGTGCTGACCAATGACACCGGGAATCCGCTGCAAGCCGACGAGCTGCGCAGCTGGGTTAGCAACCTGTTGCAGGGCGGCCAACTGCTTTTGTTGCTGCTCGAAGTCCACAGAAGGCGCGTATCCACTAGAAACATCAAAGCCAGAGCCGCGGCCAAGGCTTTCCAAGTCCGTCGTGCGACTCCGCTGGAAAGTATTCGCTGCGCGCGGTACGTGCTGGTGAAGCGCATTTAGCTGCTGCTGCAACTGAGCTAGCTCTTGTTGTTGCTGAAGTGCTTGTAGTTGCTGCAAGACAGCAAAGGAGGGAAGTGTTGAAATCAAGGACGCGGACGGCAATGGAACGCTCTGTGCGCGGTTCCTCCCGTCATCCCGTGCCTAAGGAAAAGCAGCTCACCTGCAAAGCAGTGGCCATTTGGACTTGCTGCAAGCGATGCTCTTCTAACTTGGCGGCAAGGCTTTGGGCGACCTTCTGCGCAGCGGGGACACCAAGCCACGAAGGCGACCAAGCGGTCATTAACAGGACAAACAATTGTAATAAGCCGCAGCTAAAACAAACCAGGTGTGATTTTTGCAAGCCGTGGCACACACCACCGAGGTCACCAGCTGACGCGAAGGCTGCCTGGCCTGGTCGAGCACGCGCCACACCTGGTAAAGGTCATTCTGTTCGGTAGATGATGCAGCAGGCCAGCCAAAGGCATGCTGTGGTAGCGTAGGAGGCTTGAGTTGCAACTGTGCCTCAAGGCCAAGCACTCCAAGGCCTTGTCCAGCGCTCTGTGCCGGCGCACCAGCCAAAAGTGCGCTTACATCGTAGCCACCTAAAAGCAGCTCTTCGAGACCTGGGAGCTCCGCCATGCAAGAGCCAAAGGACGCCAAATATGTGAGTTGATATGAGTATGAGACCTTACGAAGACGCCCTAGAGTGTAGACGTTTGGTGCCGCAATATTAGACAAATCTGGTATTCGCAAAGGAAGCTGAAAGCACTGTTCTGTTGGAGAGCTTGGCTTCCCAAGTTCCAAAAGTGAGTACTCCCGTACACATTACGCCAAAAGCCTTACACCTTGGATAGCTTTGTGTGTTAACTGGTTCATAGTATGAAGCAGCACGAAAACATAGTCGTCTGGGTTAGGGCTTGATTGTCGAATGCAAACGCTCTCCAATCTCATAGACCTCCTTTGTCAAAATGTCCGTTCCGTCGGGCGTTATTTGCAAGGGCAAGAACGGCTTCTTTTTCGAACTACTGCAACATATCGAAGGCGTGGCAGTTGAACACTCTTCGGTTTCCCACGTGGCGCCGTATTAGCAAAGCGTATCTTGGTGGTTAGTGCATTCAGCTCATGCGGTGTTTCAAAAATGTAAATTGAGGTATGTTCAGGTGCCAAAGGAGTGAACGACAAGAAGACATTTTGTGCGCTTTCCTTATATGTGCGTCCGACGCCGGATGGTGCACACGAGACAAGACTCATCCGATGCAGTTGGCAACGATGCATGGTCGTATGGCGAACATTCTTTTCCGTAGTTGGCGCTCGTTGGACGTATTCCCGCGGTGGCATGATGATGCAAAGTAATGCGACAACCACCAACGATCCTGGGAGTAGCGATGACGGTGGTAGCTTGCGAGCATGTATCCCGCAACCCAGGTAATTTGCGAACATGTGTACAGTCCACATGTAATTTGATATATAATTGATAAGCTCCACTGCTTCACGTCTATACAGTGACAAGTTCTGCACAAATGCGAGGCGCGTTCTTATACGCGGGACCATGGACGGTCAATAGCCACTATTGTGGTGCCGGGTGAGGATGTAAAATATATCTGTGCGTATCACCTATAGTGTGGCCTAGTAGGGCGCAGCTTCTAGCAAACGGCCCTCGAGCTGCCGGGCGTAAAAGGCCTGCGGCACTGAAATATCCCTATTCTTTCCAAAACCGCTAACAAAAGGTATTGTGCGAAGAAGGAAAGATAACCGAAACTGCCAATTGCCATGGGAATCTCACTCCTGCAGATACGCGCAGATCCGGTGCCTTACGAGTTTATCACAAGAGCCCGATGCACATTTTCAATTTATGGATTTTTACTCCGGATTTTAACTTATTACTTTACAAATTTAAAGCTGACCCAACCTTCCGCCTGACACGTGCCACCTTTAGGCAAATCCCCCAATCCACGTGAAATCACACCGTTAGGCAATTTCGGCATCGTATCGTACAGTCCTCTTATATGCCGTCTACACGAAACGCACATCTCAGAAGCAAGGCAAGAACCCAAAACGCGCAATAACGGGTCAGAGCAACTGGATTCCCATCCAAAATATGTGTGCGCGACATGGTCGTACCCCGTACCTGCAAACTGCCCAGTACGGGCCGAGGATGTCATCTCCGAAGTTGATCGTTGTTGGGCGCATCTTCCGTTCCTGCGGAGCAACGAACCCCCAACTGACTAAGGGTTCCCTCCGGATACCGCCCGTGCAGCTCCTACATGCGAGAGGCAGGTACCGTGTACGACCGCGTATGTAGTGATCTAAAGAAATGCTGTCGCCTGGAAATAACCGCGGGACACTACCTGTTGGTGTGGGGAAAGGCTAACGGAATGAAGCGCCAGCAGCCCGGGGCCCGCCGACTGCTACCTGCTTCTATCGCTAAGCAAGGTTACGCAACTAGCTACCGTAACGGTACGTGCGGCCATACTCATACGTACAACAAGGCTGTTCCGAGCAGTATGTCTTACATCGCGTTTACATCACGACCTGGTGACGTAACAAGGGAATGCAGTCAGTCGTAATTTCAGCAATCTCTGGTTACCTAGCGCTTGGGATGTAGGCGTGGTGGGAAAAGAGAAGGAACGGAAGCACACCAAGAAGCTACAAGCGCTTTGAACTCCAAGCGTTGGCAGCGGCCCCAGTCCCAGCCCCATCAGGCACGGGCCGCTTGCGCCCCAACCTGACAACGTTCACAAAGCTGCTGCTGCCGCGGCTGTTGCTGCTGCTGTTGCTGTTGCTGCTACGGCACTCGCCTTCATAAGAAGCAGCAAACAGTATACTTTTACCACCACCATCACCAGCCGCGCAGCACCAACCGTGGTTTAATCTGATGGGCCGCTGACAGGGGCTGACCCTGACGGCACCCGAGTATCGTTGCCAGGCGTGTGCAGCAGCATGCAACAACATGCTCTACACATCCCTACCTGCCTCACGCTCCGACTAGGAATGGCGGGCCAGATAAGCAGATAAGCGGACTCAGACACGGCGAGAGACCACCCAGGTTATCACCACACCTCACCACGTGTCGTGTCCCGCTGATGTGCGGAACTGCCCGCACGACTCCTGAATGCGGACCTCACAAATTTCCCTCCAGGTGGTGTATGAAGGCTGCGGCTAGGAGAGCTAGGAGAGCTTGGAACGCTGGTGTGCTAGGGAACGTGCTCGACAGGTGGTAACTCCCCTTCACGTCCCCCTACCCTCTTGTGCATCAGTCTTTCCGTGGCATCAGCTTCACTTCCGTTCGTTGTGCGTCTTTCCCCCTACCCTCCTACTCCTGTTGCTGCTTCCTTTTACTTCTCTCCCACGTTTGGTACCTCCGCGTTGCCCTCCTTTCCTGAATGAATGAAAGCGGACAGGAAAGTCCCCTCTCCTCCACCGCCCATGCAATCCACCCGACACGGCAGATGGACCGGCACCTCTTGCACACCAGTACTAGCACGTAATCCAGATCCAGATGCAGACAACTTCCCGCAACCCCTCTTTCCACACACACACACACACACCACACACACACACCACACACACACCACACACCACACACACACACACACACACCACACACCACACACACCACACACCACACACACACACACACACCACACAATCCATCCACCGACGTAAGACAAGTTGGCATATCGGTCGTTGCAGGACAGCCGCGGCGACAGCCCGGCCGTCGCGGCCTTACGAACGAACGGACAAAATGGGATTCTGACCTTCCACAAACCCCCCAGACAAATCGGCTGACCGTGCCGCCGCCGCGGCAGCAGCAGCAGCAGCAGCAGCAGCAGCAGCAGCAGCAGCAGCTTCAGCGTCCTGACGACCCATCGCTGCCGCCGGCGTCAGGCCGTTGTCGCCAACGAAGCCGCCTCCGCCGCTACTGCTCGTCGTGCTGAAGCTCCCGACGGGGCCACCAGTTGCCGGCGTTGACCCACCTGTACGGTATGCCGTACAATTACAAAGTAAAGCAATTATGTAACACCATGTACAACGCAAAAATCATTTTTTTCGCGTGCGCAGATCAAAATGGGAGGGGTGCACAGGAGGCGTCATTGGTTGACACCGAGGATGACGACGACGACTCATGCAAGCAAGCAAACCGCCAGTGTGTGAGAGGACCGCCCGATCTACCGGAGTGGTGCCATTACGACGCCATGAAAGCACCGGCGATTCTTTAAAATCTACTGGAAAAAGTACAACAGGAATCATCCATAACAAACAAACGGCAGCACGAACGATCCAGAATGGAATGATTCCTAAATTCAGGGGAAGGCAAACAAAAAACGGGAAGGCAAACGAAACATGGTTATGCATATGAGGCGGCGCCATCACAATTTCGAGCTCTTTTCGGTAAGCGGAACGCCCATTGTATGAGGGGATCCGCCCCATGGTTGAGGGGTAGTTTATCAGCCTAACCTTTGGAAAATCATTCCTGGGGTTGGAATTATTATATTTTGCCCTCCCCTGAAACCCCAAAAACCATTGAGCTGTAGCAGTAGCAGTAGTGATACACACACACACACACACCACAGCTTATAGCGAGAAAAAGGCACCTCCCAGTACTGGGGGGGTTTTATGTGTTGTAGGACGACTACTCCCTCCCGCCCCCCCTCCCTCGCCGCGGCCCACCGGAAATGAACGGCTTGAGCGGGCTGCCCCTCCCCACACCGCCACCGCGGCTGCCCTCACTGCCCCCTCCCGTCGGCCCCCCTTTGATGGTGCCGGTGTTGATGGCGGCTGAGGGTGATGCCGCCAGGGATTTGTAAATGGCCATAGCCTGGGCGACCATGGCCGAGGGTTCCGATGCTGCTGAGGGCAGTACCAGTGTGGTGCTCTCCTTGGCCAGGTGACGGAAGGCCTGGGAAAGGGGTGAGGGGAGGGGGAGAGGTGTGAGTGGGAAAGGGGTGAGGGGAGGGGGAGGGGGAGAGGTGTGAGTGGGAAAGGGGTGAGGGTAGGGGGAGGGGGAGAGGTGTGAAGGGGGAAAAGACAAACCACGAGCGAGTGAAGCTGCTGCCAAGGGGTATGAGGGAGAGGAGGAAGAAAAAGGGAGATGGATGTAAAAACAGCGTGGGATGTGGGATGTAAGCTAAAGGCGGGTTTAAATGGCTAAGAGGGGAAGAAGATGGGAAAGATCAAGGCATGCATTGCCATGTAGTTCCTCCCCCATCCGCAGTT